CAGCCAATATATAGGGCCATGAGAAGAGAAATGGACGTAAATATCAAACAAGTAGGACTTTTCTCACTTATATGCAGTGTTGATCTTAACCCCTTAATGATCCACTAATCACTTTGTAGATAACTACAATTTACGCCCTCAATTTTAAATAGTTCTCACTTACAACTTACAAGAATGCCTAAAGCATTTAAGAAAGGAGGGGGAGGTATGGAATGAAGAAGGCCCTACCCTCTCTCAAAATCTACACATCGATAACATGAGACTCACCTTCCAATGAAACCCAACTTAATATGCTAGAAGAGGTTTGAGCTGTTTCTCATGATGAGCATACTTTGGATCCTTATCACCATACCTTAGTGTGGTGGAATGCATCAGAAGGTTGGCCTAATCTGCAAGACCCCAGATTAAATGATTTGGACCGTTAGAAAATTCCAGGATGTTAGACCTACCTAGACTTGAACGTTAATGAGACTGGATAGCTATCAGTAGAATTTTGATAAGCTTCGAAAGCTTGTGATTTTATGGTATCCACACACCAGGTCTCTACTCTTGCATGTCTTGTGACTTCATGCACTCTCCTCTTGTCCCTTGATAAAACCTAATAATTGCGATGTTGATGATAAAAACAAAACTAAAAAAAATGTGAGTTTTCCTGTTGAAGCTGGCGGCATGGAGGCCTTGGCATGTCCTCTATGTCACACTTCACCAAGGTTATTGTCGAACAAGTTGTCGCAGACCACCTTACGAGTTTCGCAGATAATGTTGATCGCAGACCACCTCAGGGTCTCAACATAATATTGCCACCTGATGGAAGCATTATATGTTCAATGAAGTGTTAATTTATTTAGTTTGCCTTTTTAATAAACTCAGTTTTTTTTTCTCGCTCCAGAGATGTTTTTTTTTTTTTAATCTTTTTTATTTTCCATAATCAAGAAACATTCTTTTAGATTTCTTTATCGTACGGCAAAATATGCCAATATTAAATAGCCCATACTTTAGAGGAGACACCCTGTCATGCATATTTTTCTTAATGCATGACGAACAAAATTTCAAATGCCTTAGAGATGGTTTATGAGTATCTATAATAGATAAAGTATTTTCTCGATCTTATCTCTTTGTCTCACTTAAATTGTGATATAGCTAGCAAATCAGCAATCTTTTTGGATAAACAAGGCAATGAAGATGATGGCATGCTTTTATCTATAAGGGAAGAGCGAAGGAGAGTAGATGGAAATTGGGTTCGAGTTGGTTCTCCTTATCACGTTTGAGATTGATTAGGAAAGAGGTATTGAGAGTGGAGATTTTTCTCAAGATGACTTTCCAACGATATCTATGCGTGGTCACACTGTTTTCAAAAGCAAAAAGAGCCTATACAGTGAGGTTGTTGCAGACCACCTTACAAGTTTCCCGGATAATGTTGGTCGCAGACCACCTCAGGGTCTCAACATAATACTGCCACCTGATGGAAGCATTATATGTTTAATGAAGTGCTAATTTATTTATTTGCCTTTTTAATAAACTCAGTGTTTTTTTCTTGCTCCAGAGATGTTGTTTTGTCTTTTTAATCTTTTTTATTTTCCATAATCAAGAAACATTCTTTTAGATTTCTTTATCATACTGCAACATATGCCAATATTAAATAGCCCATACTTTAGAGGAGACACCCTCTAATGCATATTTCTTAATGCATGACGAACAAAATTTCAAATGCCTTTGGGAAAATACTTTATGTATTATGGATGCTCACAAACCATTTCTATCTTATCTCTTTGTCCCACTTAAATTGTGAAATAGCTAGCAGATCAGCAATCTTTTTGGGTAAACGAGGCAATGAAGATGATGGCATGCTTTTATATATAAGGGAAGAGAGAAGGAGAGTAGATGGAAATTGGGTTAGAGTTGGTTCTCCTTATCACTATTGAGATTGATTAGGAAAGAGGCATTGAGAGTGGAGATTTTTCTCAAGATTACTCTCCAAATATATCCTGTAGATTAGGATTACTAGGCGTAGTCTCACTGTTTCCAAAAGCAAAAAGAGCCTAGACAGTGAGGGACACAGCCTCCCACATTGAGGGGGTTGGCAGTTTTTATGGAGAACCCCTTATCATTTGATTTCTCCCAAATAACACCCCCCACCCCCTTCTTTTTATCTTTTTTTTAAATCATTAGTTTCCTGGATCTAAAATTACCCCTTTCTATTAATTTTTTGCAAAAATAACAACAGACTTGACTTTTATTTTTTGGATCCAACAACGACCATTTTTTTGTGCGTGGCCACCTTGCCTATTTAATCCGAAGATGGAATTTCCACGAAACTGAAATACAGCGAAACTCCATGGAAAAACTATGCTCTTTAAACCCAACATCCATAAATCACTGATTTTAAGTGAGCCATTGACTCCTAGACATCTCAAAAAATCATCTTACATTTTTAAGTTTCGAACCAGAATGACTTCCTAGATTTTTTATTTTTTTTAAGCCACCAAAATATCATTCAATGTTAGGTTTTTAAGTTGTGTTTTTTCCTCTCAAAATAGGTTTAGCAAACAACATGGAAGTAGGAAGACCCCCCCACCAATGCTTTTCCGGTCCTTAAAAGGGACAAAAAGATATTTTACTCTCCAAACCTAATGGCATTTCCCACACTTGGTTAGGAAAAGTCACACATGGGCGCCTAAGCCCAAGGCACCAGGTGCCTGCCTAGGTACTACTTGGGCGCCTAGGCCTCCACCGAAGAGCGGCTGGCCCAACCTTCAGTGAGGCACTGGGGCCTGGTCTTTGGCTCCCTCAAGATGAAACCTAGTCATCCAGGCAGTCTGGCATTTATTACATTATCACATTGATACAAAACTAGAAATCGCTTATGTTCTAGCAAGCCAAATAAATGGTGAGCATAATTGCAATTTCTTGCCTTAAACTCAGGTTGCCGAGATATAACAGAAAATTGTATGATTTGAAAACCCAGAACCTTCTCCTGATTTAAAACTTGAAATAACAAAGACTTTTAAAAATTTAAACACAGACTTCCTTTAGATGACAAGTCCTACAGTTACATAAACTAACATTACTAAATCTATTACCATTTATACTCAATATTTCTAGCCTATAAAGGACCATATTTTTCTTATTGTGATCCATGTGAGATTCAAATACAATGGATTTTGAACAATAAATCCTTAAATTTTGGGAAATTTCCCTGAATAAGGTATTATCCATTTAAATCAAACAAACAGAGCACCACTATCAAAATAGTCAAGCCCAACTTCCCATGAGCTGTTAATTGTCCATTATGTCTTTCTCTAGCACGTAGGGAACATATTAGTTAGCAAAACCAAAACGGCCATGTTGATTTGATAAACCACATGATTTCTTTTCACTAAGCTAACTACAAACAAATGAATAACCAAGAGCCTCAGCAGGAGAAGATTCTACTAACACATAATGTCCTTTACCTTCAGCTGAAGCTTTTACCCAATGCTAGTGAACTAGTGTACCAAGCAATTCAGGGGTCCCAAAACAGGATGGAAAATCGAGCCCTCAAGCTGGCCTGAGCCAGCTGATTCAAACCGGTCAAACAGGTTGAACCGCTGTGAACTATTTGGATTAAACTGATTTTGAAAAAACAAGTTAACTTCTAATAATTTTTATCTATACTTTTTAGACCACTTTTATAACACTAGTTTCTATTGTTTTTTTGAATTTTTCTTATCTTAATATATTTTCAGGTTTTTTCCCTTTTCAATTTTTTTTTATTTTTCTTGAAATATTTCAATTTTTTAAGTTTTCACAGTTCTGACTGATGAACATGTCTACTTCCAACTGAACCAGTGCCCCACCGTTTTGACCACCTGTCCGGTCTTAATAACATTGTATGTGAGTAAGTTTATGTTTGTGCGCAACATATCCAAGCATTGTAGACAACGACAGATTGAATATTCATGGAAGTGTAAGCATAAAGATCTTTCAAGAACAGTAACATTGGAGAAATTTTTTTTTTTTAAATTAACATTGGAGAAAGTTCTTAGCCATCAAAGTTCAAACTGGATTGTAGTTTGACAACTCATGGGTACTTGGGTCAGTTGGTCCTAGCTCTTCTGAAATTAAACCGGTTTTCAAATATATATATCTATCATTTTTAAGGCTTTTATACGCAATATGGCAGGAACCTCAAAGTTTATAATTTTTCAAATGGCCTCAATCTTTCCTTAGGAAGAGTTGTGACAAAGGGATATAAAGACGCTAAGTAGGGTCATGTTCAACAATAGATACATGTTTTCATCAGTTCCCATTCTTTTGCTAAGTACCTTATATGGAATTTGTAGTGAAAATGAACAATCTTTCTCTAAGGAAAACAGCAAAAGAAATAACAAAGACTCTTTACATAGAAGGCCATAAAACACTTGAATGTTTTAGATTTTCTGAAGCAAGGAGCAGTCCTATTTTCTTCTTGATTCAGAGGTTAAACAAATATCTAAACAACTATCACTATATATAAATATACCCAAAGGCCTTTTCAAACGGAAACCATATATTAGTAAAATTTACCCACTAAGAACCCAGCTGATAGTCACAATGCTGAAAATAAACTACAAAAAGCAAGAGTTTTCCACTGAAACCCCATGCCACTAAAGAGCACACATTCTTAAATCATCCTAAAACCCAAAAACAGCTATAACTTTCATTGGCAATTACATGTTAATTTGCAAAAGAGTTCTACAAAAATCACATAAAATCATTGAAGTATTGAGCCAATATAAAAACAGGCCTAACTTTATTCTCCAGGTTACATTAGCAGACATCATTTACAGTGATAAAAAAAGAACATGTAAATTAGTCAGCAAATTAACATGCGGTTCAAATGCATGAACTATTGCAGTGATAAAAGATTATTTTCCTCTCTGCCAAAATATAGTATCAAATGAACAAATATATACTCTAAAAAATAGTATTCTGAATGATATGACAATATCCACTCAGATTTAAAGACAATGGAAGCTTACTTGATGAATTGAATCCAGGCATGACTTGATGATATCTATAGAACCCATTATTCTCAGACCACCAATCTGCCATTTGCAACCAGTCTAACTGTTAAAATTTGCACAAACATACAACTAAATAACACAGACAATAAGAGGGGGGGAAAAAAAGTAAATCTGCTAAAATTTGCACAAACATACACCTCATTAACAAATTCGCGATGAGAAAAAACTTAAAAAAAAAGAAGCAAATACCGATCTGCTACTCATTCTCAATATATACGTAAATTACCATGATTAAACAACGGAATAATAAAATTTGAGAGAGAGAAAAAAGGCCCAAAAAAGTGATGAATCCCCTAAAGGAAAATATTTCAAAACAATGAACAAGCCAAAGGAGATTAGGGCAAGAAAATGAGAAACAAAGATAGGGCTCTTACAAAATCAACAGAAAACTAATCCAATGGGAAGACCGGAGTTCTCAATTTCCGTCACATCCAAGGAGAGATGGGGGGATGAGTATGAATTTTCTGGTGGAAGGCCAGAATTCTCAATTTCCGGAAAATCCACAGAGAGATCCGGCGATGAGTACGAATTTCCGATGACCTACATTCGGAAGTCCTTTGGATATTTCGGCAACCTATTTCTCAAAGGTTGTTTTGAAGATGAGCAAAAGATACAGGGCATGGCTTTTGTAACTTACGTGTTAACTATCATAATAGAGACTATGGTGCCATCTTAGGGTGCGTTTGATGACTTTCTCTGCAGTTCCCTAGGAAAATCCCATATGCTAATTTTCCTGGATTCCAGGAAGAAAGTGAAAATTGGTAGCCTAAAAGCTAGGAGCGATAAATTGTGGGGTTGTTACTTTCACCTATTTGGTATTTTGAAAGCTTTAAACTACCTACCTTAACCATTCATTATGTATTTCATTGATTTGATGTTCAAAATGCATATTTTGAATATGATTTTTTTACTACAAACCATCTAATGCATATTTTATAAATTGTAATGGTTGAGATTGAAATTTGTTCTTATATTGTGCAATGCTCATTGAACATTTAGATCCCAAAAAACAGGCAGAGCATATCCACAACTAGAAGCACAAATCTTACATTCAATTCCACTTGAGTCGTGTTCTCTCTATCTCTGAGATGAGGGAAAGACGCAGAGTTCAAAATTCAAAAATTTAACAGAAAAGAAGTGGAAACCCATGTATACAATAGAAACAGAAATTAACTTTGAAATTAGCTAGAAATTACACACAAATTACCTGAATGAATTACTCAAGAAAATTCCTTAATCCAACATAAGTCATTAAAAATAAGTTCTTGACCAAAAAAGCAAGAATACACTTGATCAAAACACAAACTCTAATCCAAAGAATGAAATTAACAGAATAATTAACAGTTCAGATCAACTAGGTTACCGACCATTAGCAGATCATGAAAAACAAGAATCAGATCACACCAAAAAACGCATTAAAAAAAGAACCGCACCTCAGAAGAGGCAACTAATCCATGAAATAATCACAACGCAATGCAAAAAAAAAAGAAAGTACCAATATGAAGATGACATTAATGGTAAAAAGACTAAAAATGAAAAAAAATTGAAGAAAAAATAAGAAACTAGACAACAAATCTGTGAATTATTCTTCATTTTAATGAGTAGAATAAACCAACTTGACCGTGTTAAAGTTGGGTATTGATATCCCTATAACCTCTTTAACAGAAAAAACCTAAACCATGTTAGAGTTCTACAGAAAGACCAGTGAAACGTCCAACAACAATGTCGAGAAATAGACGAAAATGCATCTCAAAGTTTATAGAGCGAGACTCAAACCCATATTAAGATTGAATAATATTCCAGCGACAACACGAAAAGGGGCTGAGCAAAGCCAGTCTAAAAAATTCTAGAGAGAGAAATAAAGAGACCGAGACCGAGACCGAGACCAAGCGAGAGAGATGGATGAGCGTACCTGGTCCAGAGCGAGAGAGTAGGGTTCCTTGACGGCGAGAGTTTCCACTGTTGGCAAATCAAATGCACCGTTTCTTAAGAGAACTTTTGGCACCAAAATTTTCTTACGACAGAAGAGTTTGCAGGTGCGCCCTATTTTAATGGCTTAGGGTGTGTCTATATAAATCTTAAATAAATGTGACCACCGTACTGGCCTCATGCTGTTTTCCTTCAAAGGAAACAAGACGTACTTCCGAATTCTGTAATAAAATATAATTTTTTGTATCAAAACTATTAAGATGGAATGATACTCTATTTTCATCTTAATATGAAATTTTAAACTCAAGAAATAGTTCAAATTGAGCATATCTATGAATATAAAAATATAAAATAGTATGTCTACTATGTTGCAAAATATACTATTTTTGGGCCTTCAAATTTTTTTTTCTCCATATATATACATTTCGATGATCAATTAGATGTTTTTCCAACATCCAAACACTATTTCTCCAAGGATTTTGAGGTGCACCTTAGTTCTACCTATAATGTGTTAACCTTATATAAATTTTCCTTTTTTTTATTTTTTTAAGCTTCCCTAAAATTAAAAGCAAAAAGGAAAATATATTAGATAATGAAACTAGTTTATATTAGGTTGGCATCTTAAATTCTAAAATTAAGGTGCACCAAAGACTATTTTGGCATTGAAAAACCATATAATTGATCTTCTTGACATCAACTAATATGAATATGATAAAAAAAAAACACAAAGATTTTAAGTCCTAAAAATAATACATCTTACAACACATTTTCAGGACCATCTATTTTTAAGATTTTCATATATTTATAAATTTATTTAATTTGAACCATTTTTAGAGTTTAAAATTTTATAATTAAAGATGAAAATTGATTTTCAAGCCATCCTAAAGTTTCGACAACAAAATATTGCATATTATGATTAAGTTAGGAGGTGTACCTTATTTTGATAGCTTAAAGTTGCAACCATGCAAACCTCACCCTTGGATAATATTGTATCTTGTTCAAAACTTGAGCAAGATGCGTCAGTTTTTGCCATGTTCAAAACTTAAATAGCATGCATCAGGTTTTTTGAATCGTGAAAATCCACACCAACCTTATCTCTTATGTGTTGTCTTTCATTTTTTTCATTTCTTTTTCCCCTTTTTTAGGTAGTTTAGTGGCCAAAATTAAACTTAAAATATAATGTCAATTGCTAATCACTTAAGCCCAATCTTAATTTTTTATAAGGTGTCTATCCTAGACATTCAAAATGTGGGGCACCTTCAAATCCTATCAAAAGTTATAAGTTTGGTGTCAACAATCTAGTACAAAAATCGACTTAAACTTCTAAGTATAAAATTTAAAGCTTCAATTACAGTGCAGATCTACATATACTTAAAAAATTTAAATATCAATAGCCAAAATATATTACAAGATGCACTATTTTTTAGATTTGAAATTCTTATTTTTGTTTATTCTTGAAGTAAAAATGATTAATTAGAAGATTTTTCAATATTACGATATATAGTTTTTAAGCTTTTGGGTTGCGCCTTACTTAGTTGCTTTCATAGATAAAAGGTTGATATTTTATATAAACTTTTTCTATCTTTTATTTCAAAAAAAAATCCAATCCTTTTAACTTTTACCCATATCAACATTGCCCATAGTCTGGATCATCAGATTGGGAGGTCCTTTAGCTTTTTTCACTATGTATAGTAAAATAGGGTGGCTTTAATGAAAAATGTTACAGCAGGGTTGTAGCTCCTGAAAGTTGCAGTTTTGTCGACCAAATAAAACTCAGAATAATCATCTTTATCCTTATATTTATGTAGGGGTTGTATTACTATACGAATATTTATTTTTGTACAAAAAAATCATAATCATTTTTAATCATTACATATAAATCCAATAGATGAAAGTGTATCACATTAAGAAATTTTATTTTAAACGTTGTGCCTAAACAAAGACACATCATCAACCACCAGATTTCAAATCTAATAAGTAAACAACGTGGATGTCAAGTTTTAAAACTAGAAGGCATATTGTCTAAAATGGTTTATTTTCAAATTTCACAATAAGCGGCAACATAATTTTTTCATATCATCATAGGACTTTCAAATTTCATAATCAAGACCAAGATCGATTTTCCACCATCATCATGTTTCCGATGTTGGAATTTGTGGCAGGATATTGGGAAGAAGGTTTATATCTTGTCGCATGCTTCTGTAATTAAGAGGCCAAATGGGCTCTTATGTCGCTTCCTTTTTTGCATCAGATATCTTACCATTTTTTCTATACGAGACCCAGACAAAAGCTACTAGTTGCACCCCAAACCCCCCTCTTAGCACCGAAAAAATCTCAAATTGATCATCTCCAACTATACAACAATAGATCGAACTATAAAAAGGAAAAGTATACAAAATGACCAGTTTACTTTTTAATATAATGAGGTCAAAACTACCTTCAAATCAAGTCGTTGTAAGTACTAATGATTAGACTCAAAGTTTAAAAAAACAAAATCTCGAACTTTGTAATACACTCTAGCCATCTAATTTGACATTTAATATCTTGGACTTGGAGTGATTGTAACTTCCTTGTAACTAAGATAAATTGTCCATACTATGCAATCTCATATAAAAAACATTTCAATCTCAAAAGTTGTGTCTTGTGATATATTATCTAGACATCTATTTTCAAGTGGTCACAAATTTGACATGAATTTGGGAGCTTCATTTTTCACGATCAAGGGTGAAAATAAATTTTACACCCTTATACAAGTATGGCTTTGGAATTGCATTCAAATCACCCTTTATTATTAAATGAAAATTGGACGGTTGGAGGTGTACTATTGACCATCAAAATCCAAGTAAATTATTCCCAAATTTAATGACACATTCTTAACCACTCGATTTCACATCTAACATATAAAAGCACTCGATTTCACATCTAACATATAAAAGTACTTATGACATTGTAAGGTTAAAAATCTTATAGGATATAATCACTTAAGGGTCGTTTAGATACCTAGAAATATATTGTCTGTGAAATATATTAATAGAAATACATTCTTTTTACTCGACACAATTTAATATGGAATTGTCTATATTGCACCTTAAATTTTCTCATGCTCTTATGGACATAGCGATTTAATATGAAATTGTCTAGCTAGATACAATTTATCTTTTGTACGCACAATCATTCTTGTCCTTTAAATTTCAAAATGAGTGGTTGTACTAGTGTCATTGAATAATACAAAATTTCAAAAAAAAAAATTCACTTAATGACTCGCCTCAAGCCATCAAATTTGATATATAACATTTGAAAATGTTTGTGACCTCCATTCACGAAAGGTAAATTATATCTTTGTAGATATTCTTCTTTAATATTGAAATGCATATATATAGATAGCATGATTATATTATGCTTGTCATGCCTCGAAGAATAATAATTTAACAGTGTGAATTAATATTCGTCATAAACATTGAGTGAACTATTTTAGTCCCAACCTTTAAATATCGTTAATTTGTAGTTTAAATAGTATATGGTGATGTATTTAAAAAAAAAATTAATGTGAAATAATAAAGTATTTTAAAAATTAGATTGAGATATTGGAGGAGGCAATGTGAAAAAAAAAAATTACAACTAATATATAGTAAGTAATTTATCTCTCTTTGTCTGTATCTAAACCATAATCTCAAAAAATCATTTTTTTCAAACGACTAATCATTATAATTTATATAAAATATAATTTATCACTTTTTTATCTCGATCTAAACCTAATCCCAAAAAAATCATTTTTTTTTCCAAAAGATTTAGAAATCATTATGATCTATTCTAGGGAGATCTCAAAAATATTTTGAGACAACCCACGTTTTGGAGATTTTTTGGGGAGGACAACCCACCAATTTGGAGTTTTTGTTAGATGTTAGCTAGAGATTTTTAGGGGGAAGCTCTTTTTCATATATTTTGAGAAATCTTGTATAATTTATTTCCATTTTTTTACAGTTAAAGTGTACTTAAACATGATAAAGGTCCTATTTGAGTACCCGAACATTTGGTAAATCTCATATTTCTTTACCTGATAAATTTCATATTTCCTACCTGTGAGTGTACCAAATATGTAAATCTCATATTACAAGGAAATATGTTTCCTCAAATATGTAAATCTCATATTTCCTTGTAATATGTTTCTCTGATTTTCAGGTGCCCCGTAGAGAAAATATAGAAGTTTTTAACATGGTTATAATTTCATTATCTTTTGTACATAAAAGTTACAATCAATGTAAAATTGGATGGCTTGAGGTGAATCACGACGTAAGAGATTTTTTGTTTTTTAACTTTGTGTCTATTCCATGACATTCTTATAACCACCCATTTTGAAATTTTGTTTTGGAACTTTGTGTCTATTCCATAAAATTCTTATAACCACCCATTTTGAAATTTAAATGATAAAAATAATGGTGATCTCTATATACAAAAGATAAATATTGTCTTTGTAGATAATCCTTTTAAACATTGGGCTCCCAGGTATCATCCCCCTCCCCTCTCTACTTGTCTTTGTTCTGAAACGCTTTTGGGCGAGTTTGGCTTCACCAAGCAAGTTCATTATGACTAATATTAAATGCAGTTGAAGCCATCTTCAGTGAGGATTTAGTGGTGTTTTCGCGGCATTTCCCAAACAGCGGAACAGAAAACTAGACAACCATTACAGAGACAAATATGTTGCAAGACAATTCCCCACAAGTGGGTTACAAAACTACAATCACATTTAGTGGCCAAACTAAACAAGGAAGTGCAGACGCAAGTGCTTTACAGAACTACAATCACATTTTGTGGCCAAACCAAACAAGGAAGTGCAGATGCGAATCAGAAGAGAATAGTATTTAAAAATGGGCATTGGGCATGTGTTTTATGAATAGCTTTGTTTTTGCTTCTTTTTTTTTTAGTATCAACCTTAATATATAGCATTGTTAATGGCTAAACACTCAAACCCAAGACCAATTCCTACATTTTTACCATTTCCCATCTCCTCTTTACCTTCTTTCATCTTAAAATATCGCTCATGGGAAATGATTGGCTATTCTCCCTACCCCCTCCCCTCTCTCCCCTTTCGTCCATCCTTGGATAGGTGGGCAATGGGGGATCACCATTGTCCAATAACCGACTCAATGGTCGGGATCCTCCTGCCTAAGGATCCAATGGTGAACAAGGACCCATCATAATTTCAAGAGACACCACCCACCTGATCAATACCCTTTTGTTTACTTCATCATTGTCAGAGAATCATTTCGACTACTTACCAACTTATACGGTAGCCGGGCCCAATAGTTGAAAAAGCTCTAATGATGATAATGACGATGGTGATGAATAGCCCATGACTTGGGAGGTAAGATATTCCAAATCCAGTTATCAAATAACTTACCTCGCAGCCTGTCGAACAATGTCTCAAAAATTAGACTTAGACTTGGGCCGGCCAGATGTCCAATTTTGATACCCCCAATCCAAATAGGGTGATTCCCGGGCCGGGCTATATGTTAATAATTATTTTCAAAAAATAGATAACCTGGAGACTCAAGTGACTCCGGGTCTCTTGGCCCAAAATCGCCCGCCTTCCGTTCTGGTCCTCCTCAGTGATTCGCGAGTCAGAGAAGTGATTTTCGAATCACGTCTCAAATATTTAACATCAATGCATAAGACTATAAATTTCACAACTGTGCCATTTGACCGGTGCCAAACCAACACTCCTCAATCATTGCACTTCATCCTTTTTTATCATCAACATGCTAGAAAAATGATGTATCTTTCATAGAGAGTGAAAGGTAGAATGTTAGAGTTTCAAAAAGAAAGCCTCTGTTTATTTGCCAAGATTGGCTCAGCCCTTACTTTCAGGCTAACACATCGTCACAATTCAAATAAAGATGAAGAATATGGGTTTTAGCAGCTCTTTTATTGTACCCGAGCCATATACTCAAGGCCCAATTCCTTGGATAAAAATTGGAAGCAATTGAGAGTAGAAAAATAATGGAAGGGAAGAAATTTGAGAGAGAGAGAGAGAGAGAGAGAGGTTACTCTTCTGCAACGACGACACTGATCTCACCCTTCTCAAGCAAGTCATAGAAAGCTTTGGTTTTCCTCTGCTCGTTCCAGTGGTGAGTCTTCCAAACACCCCCAGCCAGCAGGCCGAGTGTCATGCCATAGAAGATCTCCTTAATGATACTTGGTCCAGTATACGCAACATGGGCAATCCTATGTGCAGCCATTGCTTCCTCTTTCTTCTGCAAAATTGAGTGAAAAGCATGACAAAGGCAAAGTTGACAGTTTTAAAAATAAAAATAATAAGGTAGAACATGACCAAACATTAATCAATTACAGTTAAATAAATGGTAATCAATTTAGATATTCATGTAAATCTCCACTTTTAAATTACCCTCCTAACTATATAAAAAAAATGGGTCATTGCCCACATTTTTGTACTCTTATCATGACATGGAAGGCAGTACTATGAAGAAGCTTTCAAAATTAGTGAATACCCACTTGGTTTTCCGTTCTTTTTCTTTTTATTATGAAGTATCATTGAGCTCACATAACCTTCTTGCACTATTTGAATAAGTGAATGTCATAGCGATCACTAAAGGGCCACCATTTATTAAGCCAAATATTATCAATAGAAGCCAAGCTTTGATGAAAGAGCAACAATTCAAGTTCGTACAGCATCAGGAGTTTTGTCTGAAGTGATCACCACTACAACATGGAAATATTTTGAATCCTTAAAGAAAATCACCAGGGGTTTAAGCCCCATGGCCTCCTTGTTTACAGCTTATAAGAGTCTTCTCTTTGCCAAGAGTCTATGGCAAGAGTCTATGCCATAGATAATGCCATGGGTTTAAGCCCCATGGCCTCCTTGTTTACAGCTCATAAGAGTCTTCTCAACAAAGACAATACCGACGCTTATCGATGTTTATTATCTATGGCATTTCAATTTTACACAACCTAGTATTTATTTATAGGGACAAGTGGTTTATCTAGTGTTTGACAAAGACAATACCGACACTTATCGATAATAGTTATTTATGGCATTTCAATTTAAACAACCTAGTATTTATTTTTAGGCACAAGTATTTTATCTGGCGTTCGAAAACTCAGTGAGTTCAACTCGGACTTGCCCGAGTTACTCGGAATAGGCAGGAAGCCTAGTCCAAAAGAAAAACATCAGGAACCACCCAAGCTCTGATAGACTCAGCCACGTGGACCGCTCTGATAGACTCAACCAGGTGGACTTGTTTTAAAAAAAAATGGTTTCGTCTTGTATTGTACATCGAGATTCTTGATTGTACCATCATTCAAAGAAATTAATCGAGCCTGCTGCAGTGGTAGAGCTCACAAATATTTTCCTTATTAAAAAAAGATTTGAGTCCCTACCAAAAGTATACGGTTTCTTTTGAATTCAAGCCTAAAAACTTCGAGACTAGATTGTATTTTACAGATGTGAATCTAAGAATTTATTTATAAATTTTACTGCATCAAAAAAAAAAACAAACAGTTGGAAGCCTAACAAAACTATTCAGTAAATACTTGCAAGTGATTCACTAAATAACATGTATGGATGATCAGTGCATTCATACCTACATAAAACTTACAGTTGCATGCATTTAGGTAAATTAAATGAATCTGATAACAAGTTTTCTCCTTCCAACAAACCCCAACCACCATGTCCATTTCATGACGTACTAACTAAAGACTGGTAAAAAAAGATGATCAAGCAGTTAAAAATATCAAAATCAAATTGTAAAATCACGATAGGATCAGATTTGAAGATGATTACTGTGATGGAATAAATTACTTTTCAAAAAAATAATTGATGCAACAAATTATTGGAGAATAAACTCTTACCCAGAAAGGTACGAGAATGAGATGGGTAGGGCTGCTCTCTGTGTGCCCTTTTTAAGAGGTGATGTATTTCTAAACTCATAGAAACGGTTTACTGCGTGAAAACGATAGAAAATTGACCCGGTTTCTATGCGACCAAGCTCGCATACGTACGAATGCGGGCCTCTTAATAAATCTATTTTTTAGATCAATTTTAAGACTTGTTTTTTAAGGACATATAATTCTAACATGAAGATCATGAATATGAATAAATAAATAAATTTTAAAAATTATAAATAATAAATTTAGTAAGAAAGCATTTGGATCGTTAGTTTCTATTGTTTTTAAATGGAATACTTACTTGCATCTATTTTTAAAAGGGAAAAGTTTACATAGAGCCGAGGCTCTTTAAACAATCAAATTTGAGACTCTATCAAAAAATTCATTAGAAGAGGTTGTTTGGATGTCTAGATATCTTCAAATTGATCATCTCAACATCAAGATGCATGGACATGAGAAAAAAATGGATTTCAAGTTTTGGAAATAGTGTATTTTGTAATGCATTTTTTGACCGTCAATTTTCAAGATTTTCAAATGTTCGTAGATATGTCGATCTACACTATTTTTAAACCTTTAAACTTTATAAATAAATGTAAAAATATATTTTAAGTTTATCACAAGGATTTCCAGTAGTGAAACTACACTTCTCGACTCTATTTGAAGATAGGCTCTAATTTGATTGTTAGAGTCTAGGCTCTATACAAACCGCACCCTTTTTAAATGGATGCTTTACACTTTCTGGACAGCAAAAGCGGGCTAATAAAAAGAAAATTTTCATCCGTCAAAATTTGGGGTAGATTCATTGGATAGATCAGGTTTTGATTAGTGACTTAGTGTTGATAATAAACAAACAATTCCTTTCGTTTGTTGGTCTTGAAATAAAACAAGCGAGTGGTTCATAGATTTAGGAATATTGAACAAACAAAACTGATTATTAAGATGGCGTCCATGGAAGTATAATAATAATATTATTATTATTAAAAATAAAAAATAAAACTGACCAATAATATGGCTGTCTTGGAATCATAAAGGCGAGATAGAACCAACTATTCGGTTGGTGGAACCACATAATAATTTTTTGGTTGATATATGTTGCAAAGCTAAAATTGGATGCGGTCAATAATCGGTCAAATGTTTGGCCTGTTTTGATAAATCATACCCATTTATTTTGATTGATTAGACAAATCTTACAAAAGAGAAAGTATACAAAAAGATATTCTTCTTTCTTTTCTTTTTTTGGAAATTTTTTAAATTTCATACGATACCCCAAGCCATCTAATTTGGCATCTGAATGCTAGAAAAACTTTTTTGTAATAAAGATAAAATATAAAGGGTGCAGTCGGCATACGGATGCATCCATAGCTGTAGAGGTAAAGTGCACTTTCAAATTTTATCATGGTATATAATTTTGATGTAAAATGTTCTTAAGATTATCTCAAAATTTATTTTTATATCTAATTATAAAATTTTAAATTTCAAAAAATGGTTAGAATCGATCTATAAACATATGAAAATCTTGAAAATGGACGGTGTAATATGTTGTAAAATACACTATTCCTGAGACTTAAAATCTTTTCATTTTTCATGGTCATACATCTCGATGTCGATATGATCAATCAAAGGGTTTTTCAACATTAAAATTACATTTTTCGATGGATTTTTGAGTTGTGTCCATAGTTCTACATTATAAGGTTGCATCCTTATATAAACTTTTTTCAAACATAAATAGTCTACATAATCCCAATTTATATATATATATATATAACCAAATAAATAGAGATTAGAACAATTGTTGTGATGTTATTATGCTCGACAACTAGGTAGATAGACGTCGATTCATAAATCTTAGAAAAATTTACTGAAATCCCCCAAGTTCAACTTTCTAAGCATCTTCATCCTTATGTTTTTTATACCACTCTATGAAGCTCAATATGGTTTTCTTTTGCCAATACCCCAAAGTAAAAAAAGTGTTCTATTTTGGACCAAAATAACTCCCTTTGACCGAAAAATGAGTTCAGTCTAACACAAAAAATATGTTGTACCAATTTGGCACATTGATTTCATAGTGTCGTACCACATGAAAGACTGCCAGACCGACACTATGAAAATGTGGGTATAAGGAGAAGAGGGGAATTTTGGTCATGAATCTATCATCTTTTTGACTGGGAGCGGGAGGGGGGGGGGGGGTGAAGATTGGGGTTTTTTAGTGTGGACAAAGTTAGAAATGAGTTCCCTTTTAAAAATATATTTTTGAGATAGATTTTTTTACTTAATTTTAAGGATATCTAATCTCTAACATGGAGATCATGAGTATAAAATAATAAATAACTTTTAAAAATTAAAAATAATAATTTTATAAAAAAATATTTGGAGTGTTAGTTTTAGTTGTTTTTAGATAGACCATCCATTTGCATATATCTTTAAGATGGATGCTTTATACCTAAGGGGCGCAAATGTAGAAATGCGTCCCTCGATGTATGGAATTTTTTCTCTTTTAGTGTTTTTTAAAAATTATTTGGGATGAGGGGGAGAGAATATCCAGAAAGTAGAGTCAAGGGAGATTTTCAATAATTTTCCCTAAATCTGAATATATGTATAAGTTCCGGCATAATTTTGTGCAAAATTATATTCGTACACAGTTTGAGTTGTCATGAAAATAGGGAAGTACCTTAATTAAAGACATATCATGTCATGTCATTTTCCAACCAAAATGAGCTACATAAATAAAATACTGTCAATCATTGATTCAAGAAACGTACTGTTTTGCTTAGTGTTCATTTATTTAAGGGCGAGTTTTGCATATGGTGTCACCCTTAAGCAATTCAAATACGACACATCTCCAATCCTTGTCAAAAGATAATTTTAATAGCTAAAATTTTAGTAATGACCTGATAGTCTATTTAACATTTAATTACAAAATTTAAAACTCAAAAAATGTTGTAGATATAGCAGATTTACAAGCATAAAAATGTATGGTCTATATAATATATTCAAGATGCACCATTTTAGAATTTGAAATTCTTTTTAAGACTCAAAATTCTTTTTTTTTTCCTTTTCCATATATGTATATCTTGGAGGTCAATAAGATCAATTAGAGGATCTTTTCAGCATCTTTTATATATATATATATATATATAGAGAGAGAGAGAGAGAGAAATAGTCACCATTTTTCATTCCATACTCAGGATATCACAATCTTTATTCATATATTTTTGAGGTGAGTCTTACTTCATGAAGTTGACACCTTGTGCAAACTTTTTTATTTATTTGATAGGTCACCCATTGTCACACCCCAAGAATTTACATTACTGTTATTCTTGAGATGTGACAGACACAACATATATACATCTATTGATAGGACAAATTTACAGTGGCGAGGTCTTACAAAGTAAATAAAAAAAGTTTAAGCAAAACTACAATATCTTCCCAAAGTTGATCTTGACGAGGACACAAATGAAACCGCAGTCATCCTGAAAAATGTTTACCATAGTTTGATGAGTTTGGCTACTCAGTAAGTGATCATCATAATCCTAAAAATAATCATGATTGAAAGATATCAATATTTTCCAAAATGAGATCTATTAACAGAAATGCATCAACAGTTTCACTTTCAATAATTGCATAATTAAGTATAATTCGAGTAATTGAAATACTTATAATACTTTTAACAACAGTACATAATTCAAAGGATTTCACAAAATACCCTATTGGCGTCCCAAGTAGGTCACCTATATACCCCATCAGCGTCCTGATGGGTCCACTTAATCCCTATCGGCGTCCCAGATAGGTCCATTTAATCCCTGCAGGTCCACTTATACCTCACCGGCGTACCGGATGAGTCAACTTAAACCCTACCGGCATCCCAGATAGGTCCACTTATACCTCACCGGCGAACCGGATGAGTCCACTTGCATACTTAAATTATTTCTAAATCTCTTTAAACATTCGAAAGCAGCAATATCATGTACTCAACATATCACTGAAACCATTAATATGAATTTTACTTAAACCATTAATAACAGTCACTCTCTATAACATTTCAAAAATAACCAATCAAATATTTTGGGCTCAAATGTAGAAAGGCAGCAGTTTGTAAAGGCATTCTAGCATAATTGCCAATTTAATATGTATAGAAAAACTCTTATAAAAATTCAAGAATACGGAATTATCACAATTTATGGAATATCAATTCACAAATAAACATTTCACAACAATACTATAATCAATTGTAAAAATGTCAATTTTTAAATAATAAGGCAGTCATTTGCACATGAATTTTACAATGTCTAAATATTCAAAACAGTAGAAAGAAATATCACAATTTTTATTAAAAAGATTATTTTTCATGATAATGAGGTCACGTGCGCATAAAATTTATCGCGCCTAAAATTCATGATAATAAGCAGAAATAATTATTTCATTTTATTTTTAAAAAGAATGGATTATTTTTCGAGACAATGAGGTCACTTACACATAAAACTGATAAAATAAAGATTCTAGACGGAAATATCACTATTTATTAAAAATAGACTATTTTTCAGGAAGACGATGTCACTTACACACAAAACTTATAAAATAAAGATCCTAGACGGAAATATCACTATTTATTAAAAATATACTACTTTTCAGGAAGACGATATCAAGAAGGAGCTTCTGATAAAAAATTTCGGTTCGAGAGAGAAGTTCACTGTGTTTCGACCAGAGAGAGATCTCAAAGTTTTGTTTTAGGGTGGGAGTGCTCACATCCCCTATTTAAATTCTTATAACGTATTATTATATTATTTTCTTACGCTCTACCTCATACCTGAGGTGTCGCGTTAAAAGCAGACATTTATCGTACGAAAACCACGTCCGCTAAAGGACGCTGCTAGCTGCAAGCAGCAGGAGGCAAAAGCGGGCAAAGGAAAAAAATAAAGGCAAAGCAAAAGTTAATCCAAAGCAAAACTTTTTGAAAATAGTGATGGTCCCCAAGGACCATCATACTCAAACAGAATATCACCTATTTATAAGCATATTTTCTCCTTTTTTCTTTCTTTTTTTTTTTTTTTTTTTTTTTTTCAAAAGTTTAGGATTGTTACATTCTTCCCCCCTTAAAGAAATTTAGTCCTCTAAATTTGTGTACCTGATTATTGAAAATATTTTTAAATTTCTCAAAAATCTTAAACCTATTGCTCTGATACCATAATTGTCACACCCCAAGAATTTACATTACTGTTATTCCTGAGATGTGACAGACACAACATATATACATCTATTGATAGGACAAATTTACAGTGGCGAGGTCTTACAAAGTAAATAAAGAATATTTAAGCAAAACTACAATATCTTCCCAAAGTTGATCTTGACGAGGACACAAATGAAACCGCAGTCATCCTGAAAAATGTTTACCATAGTTTGATGAGTTTGGCTACTCAGTAAGTGATCATCATAATCCTAAAAATAATCATGATTGAAAGATATCAATATTTTCCAAAATGAGATCTATTAACAGAAATGCATCAACAGTTTCACTTTCAATAATTGCATAATTAAGTATAATCCGAGTAATTGAAATGCTTATAATACTTTTAACGACAGTACATAATTCAAAGGATTTCACAAAATACCCTACTGGCGTCCCAAGTAGGTCGATTATATACCCCATCAGCGTCCTGATGGGTCCACTTAATCCCTATCGGCGTCCCAGATAGGTCCACTTAATCCCTACAGGTCCACTTATACCTCACCGGCGTACTGGATGAGTCCACTTAAACCCTACCGGCGTCCCCGATAGGTCCACTTATACCTCACCGGCGAACCGGATGAGTCCACTTGCATACTTAAATTATTTCTAAATCTCTTTAAACATTCGAAAGCAGCAATATCATGTACTCAACATATCACTGAAACCATTAATATGAATTTTACTTAAACCATTAATAACAGTCACTCTCTATAACATTTCAAAAATAACCAATCAAATATTTTGGGCTCAAATTTAGAAAGGTAGCAGTTTGTAAAGGCATTCTAGCATAATTGCCAATTTAATATGTATAGAAAAACTCTTATAAAAATTCAAGAATACGGAATTATTACAATTTATGGAATATCAATTCACAAATAAACATTTCACAACAATACTATAATCAATTGCAAAAATGTCAATTTTTAAATAATAAGGCAGTCATTTGCACATGAATTTTACAATGTCTAAATATTCAAAACAGTAGAAAGAAATATCACAATTTTTATTAAAAATATTATTTTTCATGATAATGAGGTCACGTGCGCATAAAATTTATCGCGCCTAAAATTCACGATAATAAGCAGAAATAATTATTTCATTTTATTTTTAAAAAGAATGGATTATTTTTCGAGACAATGAGGTCACTTACACATAAAACTGATAAAATAAAGATTCTAGACGGAAATATCACTATTTATTAAAAATAGACTATTTTTCAGGAAGACGATGTCACTTACACACAAAACTTATAAAATAAAGATCCTAGACGGAAATATCACTATTTATTAAAAATATACTACTTTTCAGGAAGACGATATCAAGAGGGAGCTTCCGATAAAAAATTTCGGTTCGAGAGAGAAGTTCACTGTGTTTCGACCAGAGAGAGATCTCAAAGTTTTGTTTTAGGGTGGGAGTGCTCACATCCCCTATTTAAATTCTTATAACGTATTATTATATTATTTTCTTACGCTCTACCTCATACCTGAAGTGTCGCGTTAAAAGCAGACGTTTATCGTACGAAAACCACATCCGCTAAAGGACGCTGCCAGCTGCAAGCAGCAGGAGGCAAAAGCGGGCAAAGGAAAAAAATAAAGGCAAAGCAAAAGTTAATCCAAAGCAGAAGTTTTTGAAAACAGTGATGGTCCCCAAGGACCATCATACTCAAACAGAACATCACCTATTTATAAGCATATTTTCTTCCTTTTTTTTTTTTTTTTTTTTTTTTTTTCAAAAGTTTAGGATTGTTACACCCATCCAAGCATTGTAAGCAAATAATAATGCGTTGTCCATTGGAGTAGGCGTAAATATTATGTCCATAAACACCAAAATACACAGGCACTGACATGCACCATAACAAACACGTTCAAGGGCATACTGGCGGGAGAAGAGATGTTTATCTTTAGGGGATTGAGAAATATGTAATTTGATAAAACGTCATTTCAAGAACCCCAAGACCCACAGTAAATTGTGGTTCTTTTGCTAGAGAAACTCTTTGGATGGCTTGGAATCTAGGTGTGGAGCAGACTATAGAGTTTTTTGAGTATTGATTTTGGACCTAGTGAGAGTGGAACTCTAGAAAATGTAATGTGACACCCATTACCCTAACCCTGGCTGCCTCTTCTTAGCGTTGATTTTTTATTTGATTTTGATATTTGAAGCTCAAAAAATGGTACATACCTTCGTGATATATAAGTTATTGAAGTGGAAAGTTCAAAAAATATGTTAATGAAGCATTTTATAGCTTGAAATGTTTTTTTTTTCCTAAATTCATGATTGTTGAGATCAAAATGATCAATTTACGGGTTTTTATGCTATTAAAGCAATATTAAATAAAAGCAGCAACCAATATTATCAAAATCGGACCGCCCATTGAAAAGTTGAAGAGTTCGGTCTAGTTGAAACTACTCTGATCATTAGTTGAATTTGTTGGATGTGATTGTAAATATATAAAGAAATATATGAATAATAGTTTAAAAATATAAAATGTATTAAAAAAATTGTCCAACTTTATTTAGGACCCGGTTTTTATGTAGCCAAACCCTTATATACAGAAATGCAGGGGCCCTCTTAATAAATTGAGATGGATAGTAAAACTTAATTTTTAAGGATTTGTAATCTCTAACATGAAGATCATGAATATGAAAATAATAATAATAATAATACTAATTAAAAATTAGAAATAATAAATGTAGTAAGAAAACTTTTGGACCGTTAGTTTCCATTGTTTTTAGATGGAACACCTACTTGAAGATGGATGCCTCACACTTTCTAGACTGCATATGTAGAAATGCGGTCCAACAAAAACTGAATGGTCAGACTGGCCAAAATTGGACAAAGACTAGTTTTTTACTCAAATTACCAAACTGGCCAACACAACAATCTGATCGAGGGACTGTCTTCGAATTTGTCTGAAAAGCACCTTGGGCATTATAAATATCTACGATGGCTCTAAAATCAATTTTCAATACCAATTATAAAATTTAAAGCTAAAAAAGTGATATAGATCTTGCAAATCCATACACACTTATTTCAAAGGTGAAATGGATGGTTTACATACCGGTACAGTTTGTATAAAGCTGAGGCTCTAAATAATCAAAATAAAGCACATCCTCAAAATAGTATTGAGAAATGTGGTTTCAATAATGAAAATTTATGTGATAATCTTAAAATATCGTTTCATCTCTAATTATAAAATTTAAAATTTAAAAAATATTGTAGATCAGGCGGATCCATGAAAACTTGAAAATCTTACAAAATTGACAGTAAAAAAATGCATTACCTGATGCACTATTTTCAAAACTTGAAATCCATTTTTTTTTCTCATGTCCGTGCATCTTGAGGTGGAGATGATCAAATTGAGGATGCTTGTGCATCAAACTAACCCCTTCGACTGAAATTTTTGAGGTGCGATCAAATTTGATTGTTTAGAGCCTCGCACTCACATAAACGTTTTTCTATTATAAATCTTTATTATGGCTATAAAATCAAGTTTCAATACCAACTATAAAATTTGAAGCCAAAAAAAAAAAAGTGGCACAAATGGTAAGGTTAAGAAGATAAACTTGAAGGTTTTCCGACTCCAATCTTTTTATAAATTTTGAAGTCAGGTTTCACTTATTTTGATAGTGATCCAGCCCTATCAAATTTAAAAAAATGATTATTTCACCTACAAGTTGAAAAAGTAGGTGCCCGAATCCGAAAAAGACAACACCCTTCCTTCGTTAAAGAATCTGGTGGTATCCCAACACAGTTCGTCTCCCTCTTCACCAGAGTCCTTCCTACTTCATCCCCTCTCTAACCACTTCGCACAACACCCCCACTCTCTCTGAAGTCCTGCCAACCTTTCAACCTCTCTCTCTCTCTCTCTCTCTCTCTACTCCCTCCAACCTTTCATCATCTTCTTGCTCATCTCTCGATCCAGGTCTTAAAAAGCAAGCCCCCTGTAGCTTGGCTCCTTGCATCTCTCTCTCTCTCTCATGGCATATAAAACACTGATCACCGTCTTCCTCATTTCCGCAGTCCCACTGGCTATTCTTCTCGCTCTAGAAATCAAATCCCCATCGAACGCCACCTCTTACCCCTACCAAAGCCAGGGCTGGTTCAGGGAATGCAGCAAATGGGACGATCACGACCGTCGATTCATAGTCTCCTTCATGGAAGGCGGCATCGGTCAGATTTCCGTGCCGAAAAATGAAGAATCGCGGTCGCCGTTTCTCAAAGAGGATCTTCTCGTCAAAGACGCCGACCTTGGAGGGAATGGGACCCTTGGATTAAGGATCGACCGGCCCAGAAATCGGCTCGTCGTGGCCGTTGCTGACGTCTGGGGGAACCGGTTTGGCGCGGTCGCCTCGTACGATTTGTCCACGTGGCGGCGACTATTCCTCACAGTTCTCGCGGGGCCAGGTAAGAAAATCTGAAAGAGAATCTTGGGTAAGATTTTTTCCAGAGTTTCATTGCCCTCTTACCAGTCGTAGGACTTATATCTACCTATTGCTTCCCTCTTTATCATCCAATTTTTAGATGGACTTAATCTTTTAGGTATATATAAATTTTAATAAAATGAAATAAATTTTAAATGCTAAAACATAGTTTTTGGAAAAAATCTCCGATCATTGATTTTACTTTTAATTTAATTGGAAAGACCACAATTCCATATCCATTTTCCCTCTTTGAGATGGATGTTTGGTACCTCAGGAGACACAAATGCAGTTATGCATCCACTGCCGATGCATAAACTACTTTTCCACCAGCATAAATCACCTAATTTTTGGATAAAAACTCATATATATATATATAAATATATATTTTGAGTATTGCCTGGGCCTCGGCAGTAGTATCGTAAATTGTAAGTATCATGGTGAAGTCTAAGGCTCCATTCTAAAAAAAAAAAAAACAGAGCCTAAATCCCACCGAGTTATAACTTTTAGTTAGAAAAGGGATTGGGGTCGTGGTGCTAGCACCTCCACACCCAATTACCGCATCGTGGTATCCAATCCATTCCGATCATTGACACTCCCAATTTAACACCTTCGAAATGTAACTCCCTAACCTATTGAAAAATACAACGGAAAACTTTTCATCCTTAGTACTTTTGCCTAAAGAGTAAGCAAGCAATTTGATCATGTAGGCTGTGGACTGGGACTAGGTTCATGAGAAACTGGGGCTTAATTTGTCAGTATCTCCAGGGAAATTTATTTATATACGTATGAGGGATGAATTATTTAACACTTTACCCATTCATTCAAAAGTATTCCAACTCACGACAATTAGTTAACTATTTAACCAGAAGTATTCCAACTCACGACCATATGTTTTTTTTAGGTATTTTAACATCAAATTAAAAGACATGGGTAAAATGTTAAATAGGCAATCTCCTATAGAAATTTGACAAATTCTCTATATTTTAGACCAAAATTCTATAAGAGACTGTATGTGTGGTACAAATGATTAAATATTGTTTGGTATTTCCTATGTTTGTAATTGTGTGATGTGGAATCCCAGTAGCGACTCCAAACCTTATCATAATTTTCTTTTTTAGTATTCAGACCTTTCAAGATTTGATACAATGAGATATGGTGGGAATTGGAAGCATGTGAAATTTTCCTTGTCCATCACTAAAAATGATGGTGTAGAAGTTGTTCTTTTTCCTAGTGCCTTGCCACTATCTTAATCCAAAGTGGAAGTGCATAGTCGTAACATTAATGTTTATTTCGTGTGAAAATATTTTCTAAATAATGTTTTCATGTGAAAGAATTATTTAATGTGGTTAGATGTGGAAATATTTTCACACTAATTGGTTTCAGGGCATCTTTTCATACCAATTGGTTGGTGTGAAAATATTCCAACACTTAACCACATTAAGGAACTAAATGTGCTCAAGTGAAAGAACAGGCCAACCATGCCATCCTTGGTTGAGATGTGCGGTGAAGATGATCCGATTTATTCAAACTATACATCAAAAGTGCATATATTCTGTTTATTTTGCCTTTTGCTTACATGAAATGCAACCACTTTGTTGCTTTATTTAAGGATAATGTGAGTTATTTTTTTGCAATGCATTAGTATTAGCCATTTTCAAAAAGGTGTGGTTTTTTGAGGCTTAGGCTTCACTTCAAAAGTAACGTTGCACCATAGGTTTCTGTTAGAAGTTGCATTTTTTTTGGTACTAGAATCTCTTATGGAGGCATACAAATCAATTTTAGCCCTTGATCACAAAATTTGAAGTTCCAAAAATAGTATACATGAAGTGGTTAGAGATCAAAGGGAAAAAAACAAGGGATTGTATAAAGTGATCATTTATCTTTTGTACAAAGAAGTCACAACTACATTTATCTTTTGCACAAAGAAGTCATAACTATTCCCGCTCATTAAATGTCAAATTGAATGGCTTAGGGTGAGCCACGAAGTCCGAGATTAGTTCTCGTGGTCAGCCTTCGAAGAAAGAGGTATGTGGTGCAATGATGGGGACTCCAATCGAGTAATGTATGTCATGTGTATAAGGTGGTACCAATGAGTATGTCTGTAATACACAAAACTATATTGTGGAGATTCAATGCTAATGAACTAGCTGTTCAAGTTTATCCTAATTCTCCTAGCAAGTTGGTTCCAAAAAAAATTCACAAATAAATACATCACACGATCTGGAAAGTCTCCTTCCCTTAACCATATGGGTCATTTGGCAAAAAAGAACTGGGAGGTCAAAAGAAGATTACAAGCAATCATTCCAAAGAGTTGAGATAACTTGGATGATTGAAAAAAGCATCACAAATACTATGTTTCTAAGGGCTGAGAATGGGTCGGATCGACACTAGGGTCGGGGCACTTGAGTTCTGAGCCCGAGTCAGGAACTTTCATACTCCCGAGTTCATAAGAAACTTGGCTGAGTCCTTCAAAATTTAACAATAAAATTTTTAAGAATTGGTGAGACTTGATTGATTTCCGCAATTTTGATTCCAAACATTTCCTGACTTGGCGGCCCATCGAGTCTGAGTAACTCAGGTGAGTCCAAATCAGGCACGCCGAGTTTTTCAAACGCTGCTCTCTCATGGTTGCATTTTGTTTTTTACACGTCAGTGCTAATAAACAATTCCATTCACACACTTTCTTCAATGTTGCAGAGGATGGAGAATCGTTGGCAGATGATGTTGCTGTAGATGAGGAAGGAAATGCCTATGTGACGGATGCCAAAGGAAATAGGATATGGAAGGTTGGGCCAAAGGGTGAGCTGCTATCCACCATAATGAGCAAAGCTTTTAGTGAGAGAAAAGAGTGGTATTATAACTTGGTGGGACTCAATGGAATAGCTTACCATCCCAACGGCTACTTGCTGGTGCTCCACACTTCAAGTGGTGCTCTCTTTAAGGTTGACATAGCAACTGAGGAAGTCACTAAGGTTGTTTTAGTGAGAGGTTCATTGATCACCGGCGATGGTATTGAGCTTCTCTCCCCAACTAAGTTGGCGGTGGCTGGGGCTGTGCCTTCTTGCCGAGTGGTCACGAGCTCGGATGATTGGGTGACGGCGGCTGTGGTTGAGAGATATATGGGGCCCATGCATAGGTTTGCATCTTCGGTGACTGTGAAGGATGGCAAGGTTTATGTGAATCATTTATTCGGGTTGGGCCTTTGGCAAAGGAAGCATTTGATCACCGAGGCTGTGTTTTCACCCCTGTAATTTCTAGGTCTAGATTGTTTAGAAGAGAAAAGTGATTTGGTCGGTATTCATGTTTTCTTGTTTAGTGTTACTGAACATTTTAATGGAAAAACTGGGCTTATAATTGGAAAATAGAAATTGAAAGCCTCATGATAGCTATGTTTTATGCTTGCATATAGGCTTCAACTAGTTACCAGTCATGACTTGTTGGGGGCCAAGCCCAAGTTTGGGGTAGATTCGACCAAGTAAAGTAGATCCTGCTCTAATAACAACAAAAGCTCTTTTTCATTCTTTCATATACCAAGGGATTTCAGTTGGAAAAGAAGATGTTCTATAGCACTTTATTTTTGTTTGATTCGAATTCATAATTGTTTGAATTGTGTAATCTCCAACTATAAATATTGGTAACCAAACCAAAGCAATTTGATTTGATTATAATTCAATTTGTGACGATCGTAGGTGGAAAGTTCATTTTTTGGGGGCGAATGATGGATTGTTAGTATGGATGCTTTAGAAGATATAATTGGAGGTTATTTATGGTTAGGTTTCATATGTATACTTGGTGGAATATGGCATATCTTAATCAAACTTTTTGCGTGGGTTCTTGGCGCGCTTAGTCCTCAAACAAAACTACAAAAAGATGTAGGGAACTAGTGCTACTCGGCTAGTTCCTGAAAATTTTTAGTTGGACTCAGTCTGACTGACACACACAGGTCCGATTTGGACTCCATAAAAGAATGGGAGGGAAGTCCTTGTAATTTTTTGCTTTATTTTATTAATGATCAGTCGAAGCAATTCTGTTGCTCATTGCATTGATCTCTGATCTATTCTCCATTCCAATGAAATAAGTTATGGTTTTAAAACAAATTGGATCAGTCCTTGTAAATGCTGACTTCCTAGGCTTTTAGAACAGGTTATAACCATCTTTATAACATAATAGCCCCAAATATTATACTGGAATAAACTATGGTTTCTTTTCTCCCTATGGCTTTCTCTAACATAGTGTTTCATCCCTTTTTATTCCGGTCTGTCAGTATATTAAGTTTCTAAGTATTTATAAGTTTGTTTTTTTGGAACAGATTAGATGGTTATCTAGTTTAACTATCATATTAGCCAGTTGTGATTGGTTCAAGCCATAAGAGCAGAACAGGAGACGAAAAACAAAGTCCAAGTATGGGGATTTGGCTGGACATAGTGGCTCAAAATTATGAGAAGTCATGCATGTTCACAATAAAATTTTTAAATAAAGTGCAAAAAGAAGTATTACATTTAATGCTATTGCATCTAATTTGTAAGCCAAGACTGACTCTTCCCATGCATGTGAGCAGTTTAAAATTAATTGGAAAATTTAAAGACATGTATAAAAAGATCGCTAATAACACATGGAGTTCAAAATATCACCTTGCACTAGGGCTAAGTGTTGGGTTTGGTGAAAGCTAATTCACTACATCCATATTTTCTTCTAAAGATTAAGGACATTATGGAAAATAGAAAATGTACTTTCTTGTTTTATAAGAGAGTGAAAGATGACATAATATCCATCCTTTGAGGGTCATCCACTTGAGGATTATGGGAATAGATCTCCAATATGGAGATGGGTCTTCAAGAGAGAAACATGACCTCCGAGAAAGAGGCGATATTCCCATGAGTTTTAGGATGGTTAACTTTTACTTCTAAATAGAGAAAATCTCTATGTTGTTGTCGATGTTATCTTTCCAGTAGCGGTATTGCGGTGGAAAATAGGTTGTTGATTGACGGTGTAGCTCGGTCTGGAGAGCAGGTTTAGAAGGAAATATCGGTAACGGTCTTTTACCGATATTTAGAGATATGTATTATCTCTTGTAACCTAAAATTGTAATCTTCATTGTGATAGTGAATTTTTAGTCTCCGAGGCCGTGGATGTAGTCCTACAGGGTGAACCATGTAAATCGTGTGTTGTTGTGGTGTGCCTACAATTGGTATTAGAGTACAAGGTACGGGGTTATGGCTTGCATTAATAAAATGATGAATGATAGAGTTTGATGGATACATGGCTTGAGGTGGAGAAATATGGAGGCAAAGTGTTTGTGAAAATTCTACAATGGAGGCAAGTGAGAAGAAACCAAGAAATATCCATGGTTTGAGGTGGAGAAATATGAAAGCAAAGTATTTGTGAAAAATCCACAATAGATGCAAATGAGAAGAAATCAAGAAATCTATTCAATGAAGGTTGTCAAGGCAATTGTGATGACTTTGCTATCAAGGTGAAGATTGTTGGGTTTAGTGATAGCCAAATCACTATACCCATATTTTTTTTCTAAAGATTAAGGGTATTATAGAAAATAGAAAATTGACTTTCTTTGCTTTATAAGAGAGTGAAAGATAACATAATACCTATCATTTGAGGGTCACCCTTTTAGGATTTATGAGAATGAGAGACACTGCCTCCGAGAGAGAGGCGGTATTCCCATGAGTTTTGGGTTGGTTAGCTTTCCAGTAGGGGTATTGCGGTAGAAAAGAAGATGTTGATCAATGGTGTTGCTCGGTTTGAAGAGCAGGTTTAGAAGGAAAGATCGGTGATGATCTTTTACCGATATTTAGAGATATGTATCGTCTCTTGTAACCCAAAACTGTAATATTCTTTGTGATAGTGGATTTCTAGTTGCTGAGGCCATGGATGTAGCCCTACAGGGTGAATCACATAAATCGTGTGTTGTTGTGATGTGCTTTTTATGTTTATTTTTTTTTTTACACTCGATTTATAGTTGTATTAATCTACTTCGCATTTGGCCAATTGAGTACACGATATTTGGGTGGGATCTCCGGATTTGAGATTTTCGGTTCCACAAACTAAGGGATTATTGAGATCCCTACACTAAGTACTTGCGACCTTAGGAGTACATAATATCGGCTTGAAGGGGAAAATATCAAGGAGTACATAATATCGGCTTGAAGGGAAAAATATCAAGGAGTACATAATATCGGCTTGAAGGGGAAAATATCAATGAAACGATGTTGACTATTTTTATCGGATACTTCCTAAGAAATTTAAATTGCCTTCCTGTGCTGTCAGGCTCCTTAAATTGTACAAAATTAATTTCTGTGTCATTTTCAGAGTCCTGGTGCTAATAAAGACATAGGGTTGATAGATTATCCACCACCCCTTTGCTAACCATTAGCGTACTTGCCTCTTTCCAAAACTTACCTCAACGGTTAGTTTACCGCTTTTGATTTACTACCTCTTAAACGCGTACTTACCTCGTTCCAAAACTTATATTATCGGGCCTCAATGGTTAGTTTACCGCTTTTGCTGTTTCTATTTTCCGGTTAAGGAGTTAAACATCCCATACACACCTGAGGTTGCACTACTATCCATCAAATTTCTGGTTCCCTTCATCCAATCGTCCATCCAAAGTTCATAGGATCTTGATTGAATGCGTCGAAGTGGAATGCATGCTTAGTATAGGGTTGTACACCGGGATTCTTTCTTTGCCCTGCATTGCATTATTGTAGTAGCATATCACCGCACCATTCAATGTACCCCTGTTAACTCTACCCATCTCCTATTGTCTAGAAACTTTACCTCACGCTTGTAAACTCTAGCAGCATTTAAGATGCCAGAGAGTAGAGTCTGGGACAGTAGAAACCTTCTCTTCTCTTGTGATGAGGATAGCAAATGCGCAGATGACGAGGAGGGCTCAACACAACACAACACATTGGGCTCGGATGAAAGGAGAAGAGAGGAGATGAAGCCATGATTTAGAAACGCAAACGCAAACGCAAACGCAAATGAACCGGCTAATAGATTTGATTGGGAGCGAAGGCCCAAATACCTTCACATACAAATGGAACATCCCGCCTTTTTTGGCAGCAAGGGTTGATCTCCTTTCTTGATCTACTTGAGCATGAATTAATTATCACATAAAATTTTAAGAATGAGAAATTTTATTAATTAATGTAAAAATTATAATTTAATTTCCTATTTTCGTTTGTTATCAAATAAATGCTTGTATGATCTCAAAGATGGCTGACCATTTTTTGAATTCAAAATAAGTAACATCGTGGAAAGAAGCTTCGAAGCATCTACTAGAACCCAATAGAGCATGACATGGAGCACCATGTCTAATCTTCCCGGGTGTGCAAATAAGCCAACAAAATGCTGTTGGCTCTGCCCTATTCCCTAAGGTCTATGGGTTTGTTTAAGGAGTTCATGAGGTATAAGCCAACTGTGGTTGTGTTGGATCGATATCTAATATGGAAGAAAATTGGATGATTGTGACGATGACGTGCATCTCTAGAGATGGAAAACTCTGTTGCAGCATTGTCGCCACCGCTAATTATCTCGAGATAAAACTTAGGAACACTTGTTGCTAGGAAATGCTACCTAGACTGTTAAAGAGGGCTTCAGAAAGCAATTATCGGTTATGGAGACACCTACGAAGAATTCCATATGCATCGTTGGTTGTAATAACATTCAAATGCACACGAGGAACATTCAAATAAGAAGATAGATGGAAGACGAGCACTTACTGTGAACATAATACTAACATTGTATGTTGGCAGGGTACAATCACCTGCAAAATGAGTGATAAATGTGGCCCATTTGATCTAGATACGAGATTGTGTGGTTTGTATCGACAAGGATAAAGAGATTTGTAACTGGCCAGTGAACAAAATAACTTCACAGGTGAATTATAAAAGAAGAAGCATCCTTTCTTTTACTTTTGAAAATCGTTGTTTCAAGTTTCAAATTGTTATGTTTTATATATATATATAAAAGCTTCTTATCGGTCTTTACCATAAAGTTGGCCATCCCAAAAAACAATACAATTGAACTAGGCAATCATGGGGCAGTAGGAAACCAAATCGACTTTCTTGGGTGCGGGATCGAGCAAAGCAAGCGTGCACCTAGTTTTCACAGCACTACTACACTCACTCTAGTTTAGTTTTCTTCGCTGCTAGCGTGCTCAGCAAACAAGTATTTATTGACTTGTGTGTACGTATTTCCTATAGGATTGCGATTCTACCATATATGTCTTTCATTAGACCTTTATAACAGCGATGCTGAACATTAAATACAATGGGCCAAAAACACCATACGTTTTGATACAATTATCTATTGTATGACACCTTAACTTTTTATTAGAAAAATCCCCAGCTAGTTGCAAGGTACTTACCAAAGTTCCCCGCCGGGC